CCTTTGAGTCGGCAGCATAGCACCGTAACCGATTAGCAACGGCATAGCCTGGGTAACGAGATGACGGAATCGGTCGTAATAATTCCGTTCTGAGCATTCCGTTCATGAACAGTCAATTGTGTAGGACGATGTACAGTGGGTTAACAAAAAACGGTGGGGTGGAGGGAGTGGATTTGGATAGATTGCCACCACGAGGGAGCATGAACATGAGTTTATAAATTCAGGATTGCGTCTGCATTTCACTCCTGTCGAAACATGGTCATGAAACCAAGAGGAGAAACCAGCACCTCGTTACAACTGTGTGTATCACAGAAACTGAGCTAACTGAGAGTCCGCGGCTGGTCAGCTGCATCAAAGATTCATTCATGAATGGTCAATTCTCTTCTTTCTTTTATTTATTTGGATAAATGAAAGCCTACGGTCCGATCTCGGCCACGGCGGACGTGTCTCGATTTCGGGGAAGTAAAGAAAAAAAAGTGCCCGTGCACTCACGTTTACGTGCACGTTAAACATCCCCATACAGCTGGTCAAAATTAATCTTGCTTCCTCCACTACGACATGCGTAATAATCGCATCGTGCAAGGGAAGCCCAAGAACTTAATGAGGAACGGCCGTTTAAAAGGTGCTTACTGGGGCAAGAAACGAACGGGAAATGTCCTGTCCTCTGATACCGCGTCACGGTGAACTCGTTCAACAAGTTTCCACACATTTGTAATCTCACATCGGCCGCACAAAGACAACATTGGGTAAACTGGATGGCTGTACGATGGGATGAGTGAAGGGAGCACACCGCTCGTCAGCGCTTTATCTTTTCTTATCCGTTCGATTCTAGTCGTTTATCGCTACCACTCGCTGCGGATGGGATTCACAAACTGTAGTGGAGAACGCTGCAATAAACTCCGTAGCTCTTTTCTTTTCAAACTTTGTTTTATTTTTAATAATATATGGGGCTTTACGTCCTAAAACCGTGATATGATTATCAGGGACGCCATGGCAGGAGGGCTCCGGAAATTTCGACCCCCTGCGGTTCCTAACGTTCACCAAAGTCTAAACGCACGCGCCTATGGAATCTCGCTCCCATTGAATGCGGCAGCCGCGTGCGGGGTTCGCTCCCCCACATTCGGGTTCAGCACTCGATCTTCATAAACGTTAGACCATGTGCCACAATGGTAATAATCAGCTAGAGTGCAAATCAGCGAAGCAAGTGACATTACTGCAGTGACTACTTCATTAGCCGTTTCAGTGTGCTTACTGGCTAATTCATTACATTTTATTGGTCACACTGATAACATTCAAATTAGTCAATAACATTTAAGGCAGTCGTGCCAACAAGGACGCACTTTTTTTTAGGGGCGAAGCTTCTTAAAGCTGTCACCCGTTCGTCCCCTCGTAGTAGTAGTAGCAGAAGTCGTAGTGTGTAACCAGTCTTAGGATTTTGACCTCAAAGATGGTGCCGGTGGGAGATTTCTTCTGTGCGTTGTTGAACAATAAAAAAATCGCAGCGTACACGTTAACTAAAAGCCGAATTCTCCTGTCTCTCATTACCCCTTAGCAGCTATTGTCATGTACATTGAGCACTATCTGACTAGCACTATCTATGGACACTTGCGCACTATCTATGGACGAACGAACGGATGGACGCATAGACGGAATCAGGAGTGGATGCATGGATGAACACAAGGACGGACGCACAGATGAACGTGCGGACACACGAACAGGCGCACGCTCGGACGGGCGGGTAAACGCACGGGCGGCCACACAGATGCACGCATGGACGGACGCAAGCAAGAACGAATGGACGGACGAATGTTTCGCCCCACTCTCCATCATTCACTCTGTGGATACGTTGGCATTTTTTTTTTTTTCAGGAGGATGAAGAAAACAAAGAATGTCTCTTTTTTGTATATGCGCACGTTTATCTTGGACAATGAGACTTCTGACCCCGTCTTGTATGCACTTAATCAGATCAGGTCTCGCTAAACTGATTGATATATAGCGAGGAAAACGGACATTTATCGTCTGATTTCCTAAACAGAGTCAGTGGTTAAACAGGCTAACTGTGATATTTTCTGATTTGCCGCGCGGGAACGGGCAGCGTTATATACGTCATTTCAGGTATTAAGCGCTTTGAGGAACGGCTGAGGATGCGGATTTTGCGTTTCCATGAAAGCTGCATGCGCTAAAACTATTTGTTCACTGCGAAACTAAAAGGCAACTTAAAAAGTGTAGCTTGACTCGAAGTCATTCTATGATATGCCAATAATTGTTTGGTAGGTAGCATCAGGGCCTTCTATTAGTTCACATAATTTTATGCCATCTCAATGACAAAAGGAAACCGAGCAATGCGGGCTGAAAATGCGCACCAAGTGAAATCTTGGTAGCCCGAATACGTTCGTACAAAGTGAAACTGCGAATGGGAATGCGTGCGTGGCTTGAGACGTGCAGAACGCTCGTCGAATCGCTCATCAAGAATAACATCACTTTGGTTCAAAGGGCAGAATGTCGAAAGATATAGCTATCGCGCGATATTGCACGTAGCAAACTACTACAAAACGTCCCACTCTGAATCGTCTAGGGTGGTTATCAGCCTATAGTAGCTCGTGAGCTACTATATAGCTATACTATACTATAGCTACTATACATGAGCAACTCTACTTTTTTTTTCTTTGTTTGTTGTGGGGGGGGGGGGGGGCTTTCATAGCTTAAGAGGGACCCTCTCCCATTCACCGCCATACCTGTGATCCTGTCACCACCTTTGGCAGCGGTCACAAAACGCAAATTACGCGTTTACCGTAGCTCCAGTAAGTTGTGCATAAGCACTGAAGTCAAGCGCCTTTCAATGTTGTTAACTAACGGGTTTGTGCGTACGTATTCCACTTTCACGGGTTGCCCTGCCGCGGTGGTCTATAGTGGCTAAGGTACTCGGCTGCTGACCCGCAGGTCGCGCGTTCAAATCCCGGCTGCGGCGGCTGCATTTCCGATGGAGGCGGAAATGTTGTAGGCCTGTGTGCTCAGATTTGGGAGCACGTTAAAGAACCCCAGGTGGTCTAAATTTTTGGAGTCCTCCACTACGGCGTCTCTCATTATCATATGGTGGTTTTGGGACGTTAAACCCCACATGTCAATCAATCAATCAACGTTCACGGGTTCTCCTGTCTTGTACTCGGCCTCGTCGCGGAATCGAATCCCGGCCGGAGCCCTCAACTACGGCGTCACCGTCGTAATGATATCACAGTTTTAGGCCGTAAAACCTCATTATTTGCTGTTATTAATGGGTTGTGCTGATGTTCGCTGTGCTGCTTTGAAAAATCATAAAAGTTGCGAGGCAGACAGTGCGCGCCTTCTCCTCCGACTTATTGCAGGCGGCAATGACCTCCCTAACAACCTTATACGGCGCGTGATCTGATTCCAACCGGAATTCCTTCCGCCAACCCCCGCCAGCATTTCCTACGTCGTGAATATATACCTCCGCTACGTTTCGCTTCACTTTGTCGTGCACACACTTGCTATAAGATATTGTCGCGTTGTGCAAGAACAGTTTACAACTGGACTTCACGTTACTATAGCAGCTGATTGAGGATGGACAGCTGCGCACTAGCGCAGGCAGAATCAGTCCATATGTCACACTTTTACAGAAATAAGAATTAACTAAATTAAAGTGACTGTAGTGGTGGACAACCACTACAGTCACCTTTCGCATAGTTCGTCAATGGCGTAACTGTGCTTTTCAGCTTTTAAAGCCAAGTTCCCTAAGTGTGGCAAAAAAAAAAAAAAAACGACTGGTTTGCTCAATTGGCCTCTATTATTTATTATCATTCTTATTATCATGTTTTGCAATGAAGAGGACCAAATGACAGAAGCTGCGATGTTGAAGACATTAAATACAAATGTTTTATTTCATTCATATTACTGCGCATGATGCATCTGATAGATTGTTCCAGAACATGAAAAACTGGTAACGTGAGAGCTGTCAGAAACTGGTAAATTATTCCGGTCACGAGCACAATAAAAATTCAAATCTCAAATAAAAATAAGTAAGTCGCTTTTGCGCTCATTCGTTCACCAGGAAAGAAATGTTGAACAGGAACTATGAACTCAACAGGACCTCTTTTGAATAGTGAATTTTAGATGATACACCAGAGTAAATTCCCAGAGCACTCCACTACGGCATCTCTCATAATCATATGGTGGTTTTGGGACGTTAGACCCCACATATCAATCAAATAGATTATGCCCGAGAAAGAAAATATTTAACCGCCTTGCCACGAACGATCTTCTTGATGATTTGTTTGATTTGTGGGGTTTAACGTCCGAAAACAAACGATATTTTTCCAATAAAAGAAGTATCTTATCTGGTTTCTTTGAACTTATCATAGAGTTTCTCATAATCGTATCATAGTTTTATGGTATTAAACCCGATCAATTATTTTTATTGTACGTTCGATCTTAAGTATTGTTGTATGTCGCTCTTTGGCTCTTTCATTGCTGTCATCCGTATTTTAGACAATGCATGCACATAGACGCCTTGGGATATTTGCATGAATCACCACATTATATTTTAGTCATCTTGAAATGGCAGTGGTAATGATGAGAATACCAGTACGCGTAATATGAGTCAACACATGACAAGCACGCGTGAAACGAAACCGACACTCACCAAGTGGCTACGGCTTGGCTTCTGAACCAATCGTTGACTTGAGGCTTTTTTTTTTTTTTTGGTTCCTGCATTGGTGTATGCTCAAGCGCAACTTGGCAGTTTAGGTGGGTTAACACATTTGATTTGGCCTGTGGCGGCTCATCTTGTGTCTCGTAGTGTCCTGTAAGCAAGCTGCTGCTGCATTTCTTACGGTGTATGCCGGTTTGCGTTAGAACATAACCCAAGTGTAACAGTAGCATTGTTCTGCGCGCGCGATCTTTCTGGCGCCACAAATTAAGCAGTCCGCGCGTTCCCCCAGCCGGCCGGCCTGCGCGGGCTTTTTCAATGCTATCTCTTCTCGCAGGCCATACTGCGCACGGGTGCGTCAGCAGCATCTACGCAAACAAACACGGTTCCTGCCTGTCTGGGGAGAGAGTGAAGGCCCCCCGCCCCTTCGGCCATGGATCCGATAAGGCAGCCGCGACGTACTACAAGCCGAGCATCCACAACCCGGCCTTCCGCCCGAACATGCCGCACTTGCTGTCCGCCCAGCCTGGGACTCTCGAAGGGCGAGCGAAACGTCAACGCCGGCCGAGCTGTGCGCTTCAGCGAGCAAACATGAGCGCCCAACTTCAGACAGCGTGCGTAAAGTAGTACTGCCTTAAACCTGTGCAATGCGGGGAGCAACCGCGAGTTGATGCTAATTCGACATTTCCTTCGTTTTCTGCGCAGGGACCTAAAAGTGATTATCCTGGGAGAGTCGAATGTCGGCAAAACGTGCCTCCTCGTTCGATACCTCGAGAAGCGGTTCGAAGAGTTTCCCAAAGTAAGTGCTGGATCGTGCTTCCGCCTTCGTGAGTGACATGTCCCCGTGCTTGGCGCCTCTGTTACCGCTTGCCACTTTTCACTGCTACCTTCCCGCTTAGCTTTGCCCGAATTGTGAAAACTGTACGCATTACAGCGTGCTCCGTTACGAGGCCAGTATGCGGGTCACGGCCTGCCGCCTTATCTCCGGCTTTACGTTCGTCAACACAAACCCAGGTTTCGGGATGTGCAGCCTGCTTAACGCTTGCTCATTTGCGCCCACTCTGATAACGCAAGTGTTATTGTAGGTCTTGCGCAATAATGCCCCGAAGATACACATTTTAAGTGCAATATATTGGGCGTGGGAATATTCAGGATTATATGTATCTTACATTTACCTGCACAAGTTTTTTATTAAGCTTATGTACTAGGCTATAGCAAGCCAAATGTAAGTGTCCACTCTAATTTCTTTTATCTCAGGGCTAAAAGAAATGAATGTCACATAAATGCTTACAGGTTACAAAGTGCACTTATTCAAATGAAAGCTTTTTCATTGAACAAAATCTGCCTTTTTCACCATGTTCTATAGACTACTGCTAGATTTTTCCTTTCAGTACAGCTTGTACACTGCAGTAACTGTAGCTACCAGCTTATCGTCAGAGCTGGCTGGGAATCCAGCAGTCTGAAATGTGAGGATCCATTGCTGGGCCTGTTCTAAAAGTGGAAGAGTTGGTCAGTTTGAGCAGCTTCAACTGGTGCGAGCGCAATTCCATCGGCTGTCACACTAATTATTTGCACACTCTGTTTGTACAGGCTACCCTTGGTGCGGCATTCACATTGAAAATGAGGGGGAAACACAATATTGCAATATGGGTAAGGATTCCTCTTTTGTACTGTTTTTTTTTTTTCAGCATAAATTCATTGCGTTTGTTTTCACATAGGATTCACAGCTTTAAGTAAGCGCTGTCACGGCAAATGCTATACACATCTTGCATATTGTTGTTGCAAACTTCATTTGCCGGTAATCTCTGAGAACATTTGTTTTCCTTTTGGCTACAAAGACGAGGCAGCTAAAGTGCTATCTAAAGAATAGATAGCATGAGATAAGGATTGTGCTAGTCGATACAGGGTTAGTTGCATTTGTGCTACATGCTTAAGGTCGGTCTGCCCTGTGTGTCCAGTTCTTGTTTATTAACATGTCCACATTTCATTTTCACCCCAGGATACAGCGGGGCAAGAACGCTATCTTGGCCTGAGCATTTTCTACTGCAGAAATGCGGACGTCGCAATCATGGCCTATGACGTCACAAGTCGAGAAAGCTTCAAGGCATTAATGTAAGTGCAGTGCTTACATTTATTCATTAGGTGGGTTGAGTTAAAGAGGGCAGCAATTATTAAATGTTAGCTTAATCTGATTCACTTTCAATTCAAAGGGAATGGTAAATAGTGCATCGATTGTTTCCGAAAAAAAATATATATATTTGAGAACTGTTTAGTTCATGATCACAGGTTCTATTATTAAAAATGGAACTTCTATCAACTTCATGATGAATGCTCAAAGCTTTAACATCTTATTGCTGAATTGTAATAATTGCCACCACCATTGCCACCTCCAATATCACCTTGTGAATTTCGTGGCTTATGCAATGTCTTCTGAGCAAGAGTGCCATTCTCGGTATATTGTGGAATACAAGTGAAGTCATTTTTCTGATTAATATACATTCAAGCTTTAGGGCTGTGTTCTCTTTAGCTGCACTTCAAGATTTAAGCATTTTCAGTCGTCACAGTCACTTGGCATCTACAATTTTCTACTGCTTGGTATGTAGTAGAAGTCTTCAGCAAAGAGCTCTGACAACCTCATTGGGAACAACTAATACTATATTTACTGGAATTCAACACAAGTTTTATTGTCAGAATCCAGAGACCTGTAGCCGACCCTTGCATTACAACTTAATAGCAAAATCCGAGCAGTATAGGGAGTGGAGTGATGCTCACAACTATTTTTTTTCTTTCTGGACACAATAGTCACCTCTCATGTTACAATTGTGGTTACAGTTGAGTAAATACAGTGTGTTGTTTTTTAATTTAAATTTAAATTTACACCTATTTAAACATTGCCTCACAGGAAGCAATTGGAATGCATTCAAAGCAAATTAACATTAGTCCTTAGTTGGGTGACAGTGTCTGTGCAAGTTCAGTGTGGTGTTCACTAGGGTAGTCGTTTTGGCTTTTTGGTTTAGCATGTCACAGGGTGAAAGTGAATAAAATGAGGACTTAGGAGTGGGTCAAGTCTCTTCCCTGTCCTCGTCTTATATGTTTTCACACTGTTTCACTGCTATGGCTGATGTAACATGGCACTGCCTGCAGATTAGATCCACAGCACTAAAGATGATTAAGAAAACACAATGAGTGCAAACTCTCAACTACTTCATTTAAAAACAAAAGTGCACCTCAGTACTTCATTGTCACAAATGCACCTGTCAATGACATTGAACAAATAAACATGTAGAAAGACAGACGGCGTGAGCTCGCTGTCATACTTATTAGGGGTGTCTGATTATTCGCAATTTCGGATATTTTTATAAGAGTGTCTGCTATTCGATTAGATTTGCATTAGAATTCGACTATTTGAACTTGCTGAAGACCAGTTTGGTCAATGTCTGATTGGCAGTGGCACCTTTCAATTTTCAATGCGGTTCACCCGATCATGCAATTATAGTGCGGCATAGTCTCTTCATTTGCAGCTGACAAAGGAGCAACGCTTTTTACTTGTGTTGTTTGTGTCGAGAGCGAAGCATGTGTGTGCAGGCGCTGTGCTAAGCTGTAGCTGAGCGAGGAATGCACATGCGACAACTGCCAGGCCAAAACTGTATCACCGCAGTGCCAAGAAACAAGGGGCAGTTTCGTAGGTGTGAGATGGAATAGAAACCGATGTGGACTTAAATGCCGTTTGTTGAGACCTGATTTAGACCAATCGACGAGCTGCATCAAGTCGCCAATTGCAAACTTTGTGTCACTGCACGTGGAAGGTGGATTGGTCAGGCGTAGGAAAGGAACACGGTAATTGTTGTTCGAAATGGAGACTCTGCGCGGCACGCAGCGTTGTAATATTCAGAAAATCTTATCGCTGCGATGTACTCTACTGATTGCCGAGCTTGTTTCGTGGGTGTAAGGGAAATTCGGAGCCCGTTAATTGGCCCTTTAATAACCGCAGGTTGCTGTACTACATTTTAATCTGGTAGCCCGTGTGATACGTGTTACGAATTGACGCTTCAAAGAGGTGAGCTTTAAAGGAGCAGAGAGGCTTGGTGAAAGCGTGTCATTGCTTGGGCATGAGACTGTTGCACCTTAAATGTGGTGCTGTCTTGTGCAGTGTGTACAGGGGCAGCGAAGCACACCGTTTGAGCATGCATTTTCTGTGCACACTTCTTTTTTGTGAACCAAAGGCACTTATCGTATACTATACCCAGCCTCTTATAGCCACGCATACTTGAAGCTCAAAGGGCAGGATAGGAGCACATAGCCTTCAATGCAGAAGCACATAGCTCTGACCGCACGCACAGTCCTCAACAGTTGGAATAGAGCACGATCAATATGTTTCCCATTCAGGCGAGGGCATACAGATGTTGAAAGGTTGAGCATACCACTGATGGCTTTTAAAAAATAGTTTGTCCAAATTAAGGCACCAATATTCTTTGCATGTTTTCACGATGCAGAGGATTAGCAGTCAGTTTCTTCTGGCAGTTATGCAATTCAGGTGGATAACCTGAACTGTTGCACATTCGAAACAATGAGACATAAGACACCTCTCGGTCTTCTTTAACACCACTGTTTGTGGGGTCAGCCCGAATCCGATGTTAATCGATGGGAAAAACACTACCGGCATTCACATATCAATGCATTTTCTATCTTAATAGCATTCTACTGAATCCCCGTTGGTTTTTTTCTGCAGGACAAGGTACGTCCAGTTACTCAGCATGGTGGACGACTTCGCATTGAAGGTGGTTGTTGGGACCAAGATTGACCTGCTAGGCACAAAAAAACGACAGGTGAGAAGAATGCCTTTTTTGTATATTTTTTAAGGCATAGCTGGCTATTGGTGCACGTCAGGAAACATCAGTGGTTAAGAAGGATTTATATATTTTTGGGAAAATTCATTTAGACACTGATCGTATAGATACATTTTTGAAAAATTTTTAACAAGAATACTGCACGGTGAATCAACTAATAAAATGGTGGTTCTATTTGAAACATTTTTATCTTATGTGATTGCAAGTGATTGTTTGTTCTATCTCTCAAGGCACTTTTTAGCCAAACCTGTCCGGTGTGTCACTGGAAGCCACATAGCATTATTATCAACTTATCAGCCGAGAGAATGAAATTTCCTATGACAAAATGACCTGCGTTTGAATGTGTACTTTTAATTTGACTGAAAATGGCGTGCCACTGCTTCGTCACTGTTCATAGTGACTGTCTTGTGATAACAATGACACTGGCCGATATGTGCTCTGTTTGTTACTAGTGTGCTTTTAGTTTGGTTTGTATTGGCGTACACTGCCGAAGCAATTTTCCGGCTAATATCATCGAAACCAGGAAATACAGGAGGCATTTATATAAAAGCAAATGTTGCAATAATTTGATGCAAAATACAGTTTTTCTTGCAGTGAAACCTCGTTAAACCGTAGTTGGCCGGAGCTCGGAAAAAGTACGTACTAAACGGTAGTACTGCTTAACTGAAATAGCATCAGGTCGCTCACTTACCTGTCAAAAAAAGAAATCTTCATGGAGTGCGATGAAAGAACAAAAAACGTGCAGTAATTTATTAACTTCACGTGACAGTCTGTAATCCTCATTTGACGACGCGGCGGCCTAGCAGCAACGACAGCGGCCTCAAACTCGCTTATGCTGCGAGCCAGCCTTTCCGTCGGCCCCCTCTTCTCGGCAAATACCCGCATGACGCTGACGCAATGCGCAGCTTCGGCCACTGTCGGGCCTAGATCATCCGTGTTGTTGCTTTCCATGTCGTCCTCATCACTATCATTGGGCGACACTTCGACAACCAAGGCAACAATGGCTTCGTCGGACGTGTCCGGAGATGTCTGCACATCGCTGTCTGCGTCTCTGAAGTCTGGGAAGGAAATGCTTTCCGTAACCCCCTGCCGCTCCAGCACTTCAGCTAGCAGAGTTTTGCAAGCTTCGTCTACGATGTCCGAAATCTGGTCGATGGTATCACTGGCGTCATCTGACGCAAGTACGAAGCAGCACAAGCACACATACACAACACGTGAAAAACGATGCGAGAGCTGTACGGCACGGATCAACCAGAGAACACCTATGCACGGCGCCAAAGGAACAAAGAAAGCAAAGCAAGCGCATACCGTGTTTGCGTGTTTGTGCAAAGCGCCATCGCATGGACAACACCAGAAGACTAGCCAGCCGAGTGCTTCTTGTTGCAGAAAACTCCGAGATGGCGCTCACCAACACAGCCGCCATCATCATCAACACAAACAAGCGAGGCGTGTTTCGATCTGTGGGGCTTGCTGTTCTGTCGGGACGCCCAGTGGGGGACGACATGCCACGGCGAGTGCGCAACGAAAATTGGAACAACTACTTATTAACCGATACATACGCGATAAGCTGGTACGGCTTATGTGGATGCAAAATGCATTATGTTCAGTGGCCGCCGAGTCACGGATTTGACTTCTCTACTTCTAAAACGAAACTACTGTTTACGTGGGTACGGTTTAACAAGGTTTCACTGTACAAATTCCTTGGGGCAAGATTGAAAAAGGGCATTTTCAATGGTAGAATGATGTGTGACATTTTGTCTACTTTAAACATCGTAGATAACCAGTGCCGCTACTAATGGAACTGCCACTGCCGTCTCCAGTCAATGGCACACTCCAGTGGAGAAACTGCAGCCCACTTGACTTTGTGGGTGCCATTTGAGACCTTTGGCAGAAGCTTACCTAATTGAAGATTTGAATTAACTTGTCAAATTAATGCAAGTGTGCTGTAGCTTGTTGTCGTTATCTGCTACGGTGTTGCTTATAATTCGTTGAAATACTGCATGCATCAGTGCCACTGCTCTTCGAAGTTGTATGGGACGCCTGCTCACCCAACTTTTTTTTGTGCAAGTGTCTAACAATGGCTCAGTAGTCGGGGTGTGTGCACATTGCGACTAGGGGCAAGTTGCAATGCCCAGAAGTATTAGTTATGTTCTATTGTATTTAGCTGTTGGTGAAACTAGAGATGAAAGCCGGCTTAACAGCTGTGACATAGGTCGACGACATAGTCACAGCAATGGCATAGTGCACAGGATAAATAAAAGGACAGGAGGAAAAAGCGTAGTGTGTTCATATGTATTTCATTCTTGACCGAGATCAAACCATCCCTGTTTGTATGAAATTGAAATCATTACTTAACGGGACCCCTGACACCCAAATTCGAATCTCGAGATGCTTGTGTTGTACAAGAGTCCTGCGTTGGGGGCTCTTCTGGCCAATTATCAGTGACGAGTGTTTCCTATAAGCAACGCTCGCCAATGCACTCACCCTTACAAAACTAAGGCTACGAGCGTTGCCTTTAACTTCGTAAAAGTGAGTGCGCCTCTGAGTTATCGGCACCAATCGGCATTTTCTCTGGTTTGATGTAGACAGAGTTCCTGCACGGCGTTCCACGAGTAAAGCGAGTGTTGCCGACATCTGAGAACATTTGTGGGGCGCACACAATACCGATACTAACGCCCGGCAAAGATTATCGTGCGTCAACCTTCTCGCTCTGCTGTCGGGCTGTTCAACGGGGTTTTGGCTGCTTATGCCAGTAAGTTTCTTTTATAGCGAAAGCTGTCGTGAGATCACAACACAGGCCACATAGTTGTCCACCCCCAGTGTCCGTAGCCACTGTCGTGCAGAATAAGAAAAAAAAAACTAAGGAGCACCAAGCACACAATGGGATTCGAGACTGGGTCCCCTGCGTGCCAGCCCAGTGTTCTACCACTGCTTCACGCTGGTCTTGAAAATTCGTTGCTGTCTTACCCAAGGCAGGCTCATGTCGGGAGAGGATTGGCGTTATTATCAACCCAATTCAATAGCTTTAAGCATAATTCTTCATTGTTGTCAGCCATGGCATAAAAAAGTTGCACAAAATCTTTGCATGTGTGTAGCAGGTAATATGCTTCTCCAAAAAAATTGATAGCATAGTGTAGCCTCTCTACTACACAAATTATGATTCGTGGTGTAGTGGCTACCCCACAAGTGTGCTTGTAGCAGTTATCCAAAGAGTGTTTAAAAATGCTCTAAAAGGCTGCCCTTCCTGCTTTCACTGTGACTGCACTGGGCATTTCACACAGGCCTGGCAGTCTATTTTTTCAGGGGGGACACGCTCAAAGTTACCACATCGTTTCGTTTACCGCCTGCGGGCCTCCCCTATTTGAAAACTGTGTTCAGTGTCAATGAAGCTTGAGTGCACGTAGTCTCAGGCGCTCCCACACTGTATTTAGGCAGGCATTTCGAACTGAAAAAAGGTTGTTCTGAGCTAACGATGCTAGCCTTCATTATAAGGTGCATCAGAGCATTTACAACTCAATTGTGGGATTATCAGATGTAAAACGGCAAATTACCTACTGTAAAAAACACACAAACAATACTTTTTCTGTCAAGGTCCTTTAAGTTATTGCTGTAGTGAGTAATATGCCAGTTAATTTGGTTGCTTTGTAACTTAACAAGCACATTGTTTATCGTTAGGGTTGTGGAGAATTCACATTTTACCTTTGCCATCCAGGAATGCTTTCAGAAAGCTTACTACATGAATTCGTTGGCGTTGATATTTAAACTTCTGCTACATATATTTATAGTTAAGTGTTTCTTCAGAGTTTTTAGTATAGTTATTTCATCATTGAAACTTTTTGTGACACTGGTGCATGGCTGGGCAGGCAAGTTCATCCAATGTTGATGGTCTGGGGCTGTCTTTATGTGCACAGAAGGCATGTTATGTTTGTGCTTATTCTATGTCATTCATGCTGAAATGCAACCAGTGCATCTGGGAATTAATAGGGTACATTTTGTGACTGTACATTCACTAACGTGAGTGAGTGTGGGCAACTAGTAGTAGTGCCGTAATCAATGAAAGCGATTAGCTTGCTGCCATATTTTTTTAATAATGCATCCGAGACCAGTGCAGCCATTTTAAAGAAATGTGCTTGGTGATGTGATGTGTAACGTATTGTGCATAGAAAGAAACCTCAATTACCGTAGAAGCTTGTCGATATGTTAAAGAAACATGAAAAAGAAATGCAAGATCAGGGAAAACATACGATCTAAATCCAGTAAAAATTGAAGCTGACAATTACATATTCAGGGGGGACGTGGCAAGTAAAACTAATTTTTTTTATTAATGTACTGTTTGTGATGAAATTTGGTGTGTGTATGTGGATAATTGTGAGGATTCCAAATATGAAAACCGTTTTCAAATACCTCTTGTACTTTTTGAGTTACAAGCATAATTATACTAATTAATGCTCTTCACACTTAAAGAGATATTCATTGCTAAATGAAATTATTTTTTTATATTATGTTCCCAAAGCATCAACTTGTGCAAAGAAGCTATTAGTTGATTTTTCTAGTTCTTGTAACCATAAATATAATTTCCAAAACATGGATGTTGTTTTGCGCACACATCGCAGTAATTATAAAATGTGTTCTAAAAATTTTAAATGATGAGTAAGAAGAGAGATAAAGCTTTATTGCACTGCTAAAGGCCTCCTGAGCCTAGTGCAAAAAACGGAACGACTCTATCAGTCTTTGTTAGAAAATGACAGATGTTCTAGCGAAGGCACATAGGCGAAAATCAAGAGTTGAGAAAACTGACTTTGAAAGTTCACTCTTGTTTGGAAGTTCACAACATGCCTAAAACACTCAGAATCCTCCTGGGCAGTAATCCTGAGATGCTGTGGCCTTGGCCTCTGTAGAGCGCAACCCAGTTTTGCGCTTCTTTGTCGTGGAACAATGCGCCTTTTGAGCCCTCTTTACCCTTTTGGCATCCTTTTCGG